GCATAGCGTATTTCGTTGATGGTCTTTTGAAAATGAGGATTTATTTTTAACGTACAGCGTTAACACTTAGTGATTTAAGTAATTTTCAGCAGTCTTAACCACAAGTAGCTTCGCTTTCTCTAATATATAGATCGCTGAGTCACTCAGATAGATCATCAAATGAATGAATCGAAGGAAATTATACCATGGAACACACAAGTCTGATAATCAGTCTTTATTGAGAGCTAAAACATAGATTCGTTCCACATTTTTGCTGAGTGACGAATTATTTTTTAGGCTCCTCTCGATGAGCTGGATATACTCGCAAACGGCTACATATTCCTAATCGCAGGTTATGAAACCACTTCGATCACACTTCAGTTCATTGCGTACGTCCTGGCACGTTATCCAGAAATCCAGGATCGTCTCTATGAGGAAGTCACCGGTATTTTGGGTGATAAGGTGGGGTGTTTCCTTATTCATGATTCTATGGTCGATGAGAGAAGAATGCTAATTCTCGTGAGAAACGCCACTGAATGAAGCAATTCGGCTTGAAAGCATTTGATCAATGATACGGGGGATTTATAGGATGTGGTCGAATACGACGATATAATGCAGATGCACTATATGGAACAGGTAATGTGCGAAACGTTGAGAATGTATCCGCCAGTGGTAAGGTGAGTTCATAGTTGGCGTATTCTGCCGAACTAACTACATGTTTTTCATTTCCGCTCTGATACCAGTTTTAGTGATCCATTGCAGCTACGCTTGGTAAGTAATTTTTTTTCAGTTTATTGATGATACCGGTAATCTAAGGAAGATTTGAAAGAGTCAAAATTTTGAGTGAATGACCATCACTGACCATGAGTTTACAAGTGTTCTGTCGTATTCTCATCGTCAGAGACTAAAACATTTATCCTGATTGACTTTCCATTTCCAGAACGGAACGTGACTGTGGCACAGATACCGTTGTAGATGGAGTACCGATCGAGAAAGGCACCTCAGTGCATGTGGCCGTTTACGCTATCCACCATAACGAAGAATATTATCCGAATCCAGAGAAATTCGATCCAAACAGGTAACTTAAAGAGTCTTTTATGATCTGCAATCTAGAACAAAGGCAGAATATTCACAAATTTAGAACTCGTTACCCACATGAATATGAACAGTTTTTGCACTCTTGAACAGCAGTAAGCAATGATCGGTGTACCTAATCCTTGCTTAATGAATTACACTTGATTCTTTGTCAATCTGAGAAGCAAAATAAGCTGTCAGGCTGTTGTCCTCATAAATCTGATCTAATGTAACGCTCGTAGCCTCCACATCACATTGTTTCTATTTTCACTTCGCAATGCTCATTGTCTACAGATTTTCGTCTGCGGAGAAAGCTTTGCGTGATCCACTGGCGTTCATACCGTTCGGCTATGGCCCGCGCAACTGTATCGGTATGCGTTTTGCACTGATCCAAATTCGTTTCACGATGGCTCGTCTTATCCGCAAATACAAATTCATCCTTCCAGATGAGATGAAGGTCAATTTCCTTTTTTTTCACTTCCTTGGAATTACTGTCCTTACATGGTTCCGCAGTGTCTCTTAATTTCCTAGAAATCTACTAGAAATTATCGTATAAGATCATTTCATTCTCACACGTCTTCAGGATAAACCACTGGAATTGGACACTTCAATGATGACGAAACCTGTCAAACCAATAATGATCAAGATGGAGAAGAGAGACGTTTGATCTGCTTGTGGTGATAGAACTATTTTAAGAAATTATACTTGTAGTAGCTCTAAAATTCTGAGAATGTGCCTAACTTTGTTCACAATTGATTCCAACAATCCAAATTTCATTCATACGCGATGTATTTAGTGCTGATTACCTTGCAATAATAAATGCTGCACCTTCGTAGCATCTGCTCTGCTCGACTACACACATCATTCTGATAACTTGCAACAATGAGCATCAAATTTTTTAAACCACATTTGTAAATGACACAAAAATTCAGGTTACGTTGCCATATGATTCGTCGAATATAACAGTGATGAACAATTCTAAATGTTTTGCTCTCGAACGAAAGTGTTTTCGGTATTAAGTTATGGCTGTCCAAACACTTGCTACCAAGAACCTTCAGCCAATGATGCACTTTCTAATATTTTAAAATGGAGAAAACATAAAGGACCCACTCCATTGGGCTTCATCGCGGGGCATATCGTTTAGTTTGACTGCCAGTATTAATGCTCGCTGGCATTATTTTTAGCAACTAACTATAAGCCAGAAGCAAAAAGTGAGATTATCGCTATGATGACAGTGACCGAATAACAAAGATAAAAGAAGAATGGGTAAATTTTGAAAATAATATTGTTCCACTGAAACTGAAAGACATCGTGAGTAAGAAGAATGAAACTTTTTGAGGCGCATGATCTGTTCGGTTGGTAAATATTTACGTGGTAAATTCCTAAGAAATTCTGAGGATTGGTATGTGTTTTGTGCCATTGTGTCATAGTGAATGGATTGTTACACAATATCATTTCCTTGTTCGAACGAGAACTGAACACAATCTACAAATAAACAGAAAACAACATATTCATAATATTTTATTTATGACAACAACATGGATTGAGCCTGTGCGGAAGTGATTTCCCTTATAAGAGGCCATTTGAGCCACTTCTTTTAAAAGGGCTCATTTGAGTGTTTCCTATTCGTTTCATAAAGTTTTCGGAAACTCCTATGTCGAGTGGTCTCGTGATGATTCAGGATTCGAGATCAAATCAAAAGTTGGAGAATTGCAGTCATCATTGCAGTTGATCAGCACAGTCGACTTCTTTTTGCTACTAAAATGCTTTTGGTTACTGAAATTCTCCCAAGCTATCGGAACATTATCCATGATTTATAGATTGCTTAAGTTCCGCTGTTTTTATGATAGTTACCGAAGTGTTCTAGACAGGAAACGCATAACGAGCTGAGCCTATGTAAAAGAAGTTGATCTGTTATGCCAAGCCTGCTATAAGGGTAATACTTTCAGCAATGTGGAACAAACAGAGTGCGATAATTCTGCTTATGATGTCGTGTGGCGCAGAAGCACTAATCGGAAGAACTCAAAGCGTTGGAATTAAAGGTGTACTAACGTGTGGTAATCAACCTGCATCACGTGTGCTCGTGAAATTGTATGACGACGACCGAGGTAGTGAACTCTCTGAGATGCCGAACAAAATTTCCACGAAAAAATCGTCGTGATTAGTTTTGGGAAGCACAAATTCCGAGAAAAAAAATTCCCTAAATGTTATTAATTCATTCGCATTTGCATAGATTTCTTGATCAAACATCTACTAGATGGTACAGTTGGTTTTGTATCGGAGAATATTGCAATGTGAAGTTGGTCTCGATATATTCAGCTAAAGCTGACGTTCTCGTTGATTTCAACCTCTCAGAGTGTTCAGTCAAACTGTTCTCATTTGCTGAATTCTAGGAATTGATACAGACGACCTCATGGCTAAAGGATACACTGACAGCCGAGGATATTTCCAGTTGGTTGGTCATAGCGATGAATTCACAACGATCGATCCAAAATTGAACATTTACACAAATTGTGAAAAAGGATTGGTAAGTTTTTGTTTGACCATTTTCATCTGAGCAATCAGTGCGATTTTGGAGTAAATACGATATGGAAGCGTTGTGATGAAAGCGAACTGTTGAAAACGACTAATTTTTTGAAGTATTCCACGGTATTGCACCATGATAGAACGTCATCTATTCATCTGAATTACCTCTAAATGATGCTTTACTTTTTCAGTCGTGCACAAGAAAGATTACGTACACTATTCCTGATGCTTACATAAGCTCCGGAACGAAGCCAGCGCGCATTCTCGATATGGGAAGACACAATCTTGCTGTGAGAGTAAAAGGAGAAACCAGTGATTGTATTCATTAATCGTTACAGTTGTGTTCTCTGAATTGATCGATCAAATAACCCCATGATTATGCAGTTTTATTCGAATGCGATAAAGTATTCCCCTAGCAGTTGTTCAGCAATAAATAAAGCATTTAGGCACTGATCGAAGCGCACTCGTACACTGAAATGTTCTTCATTACAAGAGGATTCGATTCATACCTCACCACAAACTATGTATTCGATTCATGAATTCATGAAATCATTCCAATGAGTTCATCAGGGTATTTGATAAAACACCTTCCAGCCTGATGCTTAGGGGATATGCACACTTGATCGACTACTGAGCTAAATGTGATCTGACCCATATTCTACTGTCCAAATCATTTGCGCATCCATTTTGATTCGTTGTTTTCAAGGCGCTGGAAGATTCGTCATCGTATTTTATTACTCAGTGAATATTTTGCAGTAAAATTCATTTTTTACTGCTTTCATTCATTCAAAGCATCACATTGAAGCTATGCCGAGAGAGAAAAAAAGATCTTTTGTCGCAAGTAAAAAGCTCAGTGAACATTTGTGACTCATAATCCAGACTGATGCGTCGCTGCTTTTGTTGATGTAGCAATTCGTATCTTAAAGAATTATGACAATGAAATGAATCAAAATATTTCCTATTCACAAAAAACCAAAAAAAACACCGTTCATGAATAACTCAGCAAACAAAACGTGACAAATAAACAAACATTCGGCATTATTCGTGAACATTCAAAAGAATCCAAGTTGTTTGTTCAATTGTGATCAATCAATGAATCAAATATGTCTCATGATCGCTTCTATTTACAATATGATTCCTGAATGTATGCCTAACCGTTCAGCTGTTCCTATAAATATAATCGCTATCAATGTGTTTGTGGCTTATTAATAAAGATATCGGCTGGAATTAGGTTCATTTCGAAAAGATATGCGAGTGATTTATTCCACGGAACAAGCGATATTCTTCCAATATCCGCTACTTTTTCGTGGAAAAATACGATTATCAGTTGCACATAGCTAATGAATGACTCATGCTCATTCACCATCCATAATCAATCCTGTCGAATGATTGTCTTCGCTCATCACTCTTCAACAATTCATCGCCATAACTAACCATTTTCTCAGTTATTTTCCATGAATCATCCGATTTCATACTTTATCATAATGGTATCCGTGACTTTATCAGTATCATAATGACTTTGTCATTATCACTTTATCATAATGGTATCCGTAATTTCTGGTATTCCTCAGCTCTCAGATCTTTCCCAATCATTCGATTCGACCACTGCAATCCCGCACTTCACTATTTGCTCATTAGGTCGAAAGCAACGAATTCGAACTCGTCGCATGTGCAGATAATCGTAAACAATGATATGGATATTTTCAGTTATGTATAAGTACATTTTTATTGCTCTCACATCGCTGTTTTGTGCCACTGAAGCACTGATTGGAAGGACACAAAGTGCTGGAGTTCGAGGCGTGCTCATGTGTGGCAACAGACCGGCGTCGAATGTGTTGGTGAAACTCTATGATAATGATAGGGGTGAGTACTTTCGATAGGTGAACATAGCTTAGCACTACACTAATACTCGGTGTTTATGAACGAAACGTAAGATCTTCAACTCAAATACGCACTCACAAAAAAATTTCAAGTGCCCACTAGACTGTCCGATGAATATTCCACGCAGTGGACGCATAGTATCGGGACACTTTCAGGATTAGATAGAGACGACTTGATGGCCAAAGGGCATACGGACAGCAGCGGTTATTTTCAGCTCGTTGGTCACACCGATGAGTTTACAACCATTGATCCCAAATTGAACATCTACACGGATTGTAACGATCATCTGGTAAGAGCTTCATCCTGTGCATTGTATCAATGTTATTTGTGAATGCGTTTGGATTTAACTGAATTTTCAACTGATCACAGACGTGCTGTATTAGTATTATAGATCAAACTGATCAATGATCAAAATGAAGCTGACGCTAAGGTTTTATTATTTTCGACCATCCATGAATTATACTGTTACTTCCCTGAGTGACCACACGAATGATTGTGCTTGTTTCAGCCATGCCAACGGAAAATAACATTTTATATTCCGAAAGCGTACGTTAGCCAAGGAAAACAACCTTCGCGTATCGCCGATATTGGAACTGTGAATTTAGCGTTCAAACGGAAAGGAGAATCACGTGACTGCTTTCATTAATTATCTTTGTTGATAATGAGAATTGAATTTTTTGTGCAATAATATTTATTAATGGAATGTGATAATCAATGATGTCTCACATAAACAATACAAGAGTCAATGGCAATAAGTCGACCAAATGATGACGATTTGCTTGGTCATATTGATGATTGCATGGCAAAAGATCCAAGAATTAAAAAATTTTGATAATCGATAAATAATTCTTAAGCAAATCGTTCAGGATGAACAAATTCCGGTAATGCTCTGCAACCGATACAGATCTCGTTATGATAAGAGACTAAACTATCCCGACTCAACACTGAATGAAAACGAGTTCAGAGCATTTAAAATTGAGATGTGCTTAGACTGCATACGATTTCTGCTGCTTAAACTCACCAATTGACAGTATGAGTTGAACGCCTAAAGCTGAATATCTAGCAAGTATGCTTAAGAGTACAAGAATGATTTAAGAGAGCAATTTGAAAAATGTTGACGAAGTTACTTTTGTAGCGACAGATGAATTGATTTCATAGATGATTCCTGAAAAAATCAAGCTATGACAAGGAGGAACGTGAGAGTTGGCCTCAAGCAGCACGGTTCATTCACCATATCCAGCAGATTACTATTATGTAGTTGAAGTAACCCGATACGTGGACCATTTCGCTCCGTACATAACTGTTGGCCCCTTATTGTTAGGAATATATTCCCTACACCCATACTGAAGCGATATGCCAGTGAATCAATTCGGAGCGATTTGATTGTCAATAAACATTCTGTTATCAATCCGGTTCCCTGGCCGCTCAACGAGCACGGTTCACTCCATCAAACATGATCGTTTTCAATAGGAGTTTTCATCCCTTATGATCCGATTACAGCTAAGGCCACTCAGCAACGTATAATATTCAAATTCAAGTGAAAATTTTCATCAACATATCGCCCGAATACAGTCGTCAGTATTACCTAATAATTCCCAACATTGCGCTAGTCACTAGCCAGCCTTTATGCGTTGTTCCTCCATTGAAATTCCTTGCTTGATTACAAAATTCCGTTATGTAATTGGTGGATTTTTTTCAGTTTCATCGAATACTCAAACTACCAACTATTTTAGGCGCTTCAATAAGTCCCGTTCTGAAACGTATCGAAAATCCAACTGAGACTGTGGTGGTTACTCATGGGTAGAGGTGTGTCCGGAGCTTGAGCTTAAGGGTACTACTAAGTAATAGCCTGAGCCCAGACATTAACTTAAGCCTAAAGCTATGCTTAGCTTAAATCAATTGGAGGTTTTCAGTTGGGGTCACATTCGAATTCATACATCTGTATAGTCACGCCATCTACTGACAGACATTACCTCTAAAGCAAAAAACGTTCTCTCAAAGTATCTTTGAAAGTTGTCAATGTATCAGAAACGTTTCAAATTACGATTCATTATGCGCACATTTAGATTCGTTATGCGCACGTTTCTGATTATTTTGTCTTGTTCTATGCTATTCGCCGAAACTTTCTACATTGGATTCAAACAGTCGGTTAAAGTTCACGGTCGTCTGGTGTGTCATGGTGTACCGCTGAACAATACGCAAGTAAAGCTGTTCGATC